AACATGATTGTTGGCTTAAGGCCATGCAAGTTGAGATTACTACACTTGAAGCCAATAATACTTGGTACCTCACTAATCTACCTGCTCACAAATCTGCTATTGTTTGTCGTTGGATTTATAAGATTAAATACAATGTTGATGGTTCCATTTAGAGGTATAAGGCATGTTTGGTTGCCAAAGGTTACACACAAATGGAAGGTCTTGATTTTATTGATACATTCTCTCTTGTGGCTAAACTTAGCACTATTCGTCTTCTTCTCGCTCTCGCTGCAATACACCATTGGCATCTCAAACAACTTGATGTCAACAATGCTTTCCTTCACGGTGATCTTCTGGAAGAGGTTTATATGGAGCTTCCTCCAGGCTTCACTCCTTCTCACCCAGGTCAAGTTTGTCGTCTTCAACGCTCTCTATATGTTCTTAAACAAGCCAGTCGCCAATGGTTTGCTCGTTTATCATCATTTTTGTTATCTCATGGTTTTCTACAGTCTACCTCGGACCATTCTCTTTTTCTAAAATGCAAGGATTCTACTATTACAGTTCTTCTTATCTACGTAGATGACATTGTTCTAGTAAGAAACAACCTCTTTGAGATCAGTCACATTACCTCTCTTCTTTATTCCACTTTTAAGATCAAGAACCTTGGTGAACGTAAATATATTCTCGACTTACTATCTGACCATGGTATGCTTGCTTCTCGACCTTCCTCTACGCCAATGGATTATTCCATTCGTGTGCATGTTACATCTGGTACTCCTCTCTTAGAACCATCTGCTTATCGTCGAATCGTGGGACGACTCATCTATCTTACCACCACTCGTCCAGATATCACTTTTGTTGTCTAGTGTCTCAGTCAATTCATTTCTAATCCTACCACCATTCACCATCAGGATGCCATTCGGGTTCTATGTTACTTGAAGAACACCCTGGATATGGTATTTTTCTAGCTGCCAATAGTGACCCTCAACTAAAAGCTTTTAGCGATTCCAATTTGGTTGGGTGTCCGGACTCCTGTCAGTAACTGGCTTCGCTATTTTCCTTGGCAATTCTCTCATCGATCTCTTGGCGTTCAAAGAAGCAAACTACAATTCCTCGCAGCTCTTCTGAAGCAGAATACAGGGCTTTGGCTTCCACAACTTGCGAATTACAATGGCTTTTATATCTCATAGATGACTTTGGTGTTCCTTTACAACGTCCTGCTTAACTTTACTGTGACAATCAGTCAGCCATCCAGATTGCATCTAATCAAGTTTTCCATGAGTGCACGAAACATATAGATATCGATTGTCACATTGTTCGCGAGAAGGTCTCCTCTGGTTCAATCAAGTTACTGCCTGTATCTTCTTCTTCTTAGCTTGCAAACATCCTCATGAAGCCTCTTTCTCCAGCACCTTTTGAGAATATTCGTTCCAAGCTGGGAATGTACAATATTCATTCCCAGCTTGCGGGGGGCTTTCAGCTATATCATTTTTCTTATTATTCTGTTACGTATTCTCCATTCACTTTGTAACAAACTTTTATTATTATTTTCTCTCTCTTCTTTTTGCAGCTTTATCAGTGTACTATATAACCATCACTATTAATAGATGTGACACGTTGGTCATTCATTTCATTTGTTGTACATGCATTTTTCGTTCCTTTACACTTTGCACAACATCATTTATACGAATATTTGAGAGCTTTATCATGCAATTTGTCACTAATATGAAAATATTTCTCAAAATGCCACTGTTTCTTGTATCATTGGAAAGTTTGGTTTGGGGTTACCAGACTTCTTAATGAGTTTTTATTTTTTGTTTTTTAACTTAAAATATTAACTTCTTGACTCTCAAATTTTTTTTAATAAAATTATTATTATTATTATTATTACTCAATTGAGTTTAATTAGTGAAATCTTAACCTACTACACAGGTTTTAGATCCTAAAGGTTGTATCGACATTGTTTACCTTTTATCTTGTAACCGGATTGAAAAATATGAAGAAGTTATTACTGATTAGGTGGTGGTTGTCCTATCTCATGCATTTGTTTTTTAAGAGTCCAAGTTAATAAGTCTGTTGTAACAGACAAAGATGAATGCAACAGTAGTGAGCCAAACAAGGAAGTCATTTAAGAAGGTGATGAGCCACGGAATGCGGTTGCCTACATATCTTATTTAGGGATGTCTTCATTATTTCAATAGGAAATTGTGAAATTACAACATAAGATTACTTGTGATACATTGTAGAAAATTAGCTATGTGCTCTCAAATTTGATTAATGAATCTGATGGGCATTTAAAAAATTGAAAATTAAGGCTTCCAAACATAGATAAATATTTTCCTATATTCGATGGCGATGGGAACTATTAGCATTGCCATGTATTTGTCTGCGTATCATATAGTTGTATTCAACCGTTACAAGAGTGTTTGTGTTGTAGACTTGTCACCTAAATAACTTCAAATATTTGTAACTTTCATACTAGCATTAACCATGGATCTTATGAGGTCTCCTTTGACATTCGATATAGTTCAGAAAGCAACAAATGCCTTTGTTCTGATGACACAAAGTCAGGGTTGTGATCCTTTATCCACTTTGTAATTGTCAATGATCTTTCCTTACTTACACAAAATCACACCATAACTTTGTAATTTGTTCTTAATATGCTCTTTCATAAGTCACTCCACCTTTAAATTCATTGTTCTTAAACTCTTCCTTAGAACAACAGAAATCTTTCAAACATATATGATTTTTTCTCATTATCATAATACAACTCTCTCCTTCTTACTCTAAAATCCTTTTTAATGGCATGTTCTTAGTACAAATCATAGGCTTTATCTTTACTATACACAACTTGCCAAGAAAAATGTCTGTAGCTAGGCTCATCAGTTTCAAGTGATCGATATTCATTTTGCTCCATATTTGTCCTATACAAATAATATTTTTTTAGAAACTAAAATCATGATAACACACACACATATATATATATAAAGATTCTTTTTTTGCAATAGAAAATAATATATATTAAAAATGATTAATATTTTCTAATCTAAAACATGAAATAGAATGCTAGAAGTGAAAGACTCATTGTATTATAGTTCAAGTCTGGATTCACAGTAGCCATCGTTCATAGTAGTTAAGTCACAATATAAATATATGGTAGTTCAACTCTTCGTTCACATGGTTTGTGAAGGACAACGTGACGACAAGTGTGGAAGAAGGATGCTATGTAGGCTTAGAGAAAAAGGTGTTGATGGTGACTCTCGAAGGAGGCGACAATGGCAACTCTAGGAAGTGTTGATAGAAACCTTTCAATAGAAACAATTTAGAATAGGAAGAGGGTTGGAAGCTTTACGTGGAAGAACTTAAGTGTCCTGAGACGGAAGTGAAAATGAGAGAGAGGAGCGGGAAATAAGCTTTTGGGAAAAGATACTTTACACTTGATGCACTAAAGTTTAATTTTTTTATATTTATTTTAATGACATGTTATTTATTTAGTGGGTTGTGCTAAAGTGGACGTATTAGAGCTGTGTGCACACAAGATTTACTCCTAACGAGTAATATCGAACTTTCATTTAAAACAATTATATTTATATGGAAAAAGTTAGAATGTGCATACATTCATTTAAATCACCTTAGAAGCTGCGCGTCCTATTTTCCTCTCTTTTCTTGCTCTATTTTCTACACAAGCCTAGTAACTACACTCCGTAGAAATTTTGGAATAACTATAGCAAAGAGAATTCGAAGGACAAAGTGCACATACATACCTCAACTGAAACACAAGGCAAAAAATATTGTAAGCATGGAAATTTCCAGAGTTACGGTTCTTTCAACTCTAATTCCCATACCATGATAAGAATTGTAATTTTATATCCTCGTAGTTTCCTCAATTTCTTTCTCCTTCGACATTTTCCTTGAGAAACTTGTGACTTGCCGAGATGAGAACTCTTCATAGTCCTCAGTTATAATGGTGAATCAAAAGAATTATAAGGAATACAACACAGGGCTTGTACATGATACCAATACTCAAAATACCATGAAGTGCTCTTTCCTAGTTCAATATTTGTGTTGTTTATTTGCCAGTGAATAACAAAATAAATTACAACATGTACTACTATCAATAATATTAATTTAACCAGATACTTTACTGAGTGAATTGATTTTTTATCCTGTCCATTCTGGCATGTTTTTATCAATCTACTAATCAGGCATCAACATTCTAACAGTTCTATAACTAGTCAAAATTAAAGTGATCACCTACAACAAATAATAAACGGTCCACAGTTTCACTTTAAACTTATTTAGATACAAGTTAGAAACGTTTTTGAAAGGTTATTTATAAAAAATAAAAGACTATTTTTTAGAAGAGAAATTCTCAAAAATACCTTTAAATTTGTATCCAAATAAGCTTTTCATCCACTATAAATGCGTTCATCAACTAGGTCTAGAATCGTATAAACATGTTTACAGTCTACACCATTCCTGGGACCATTCATCAATGCCTTTTCACACTATTCTTATGACCTCATGGGCTCGAGTATTTAGAGTGTTGCAATCTTAGTAATTTCGTTAAGCAATATTCCGCAAGTAATTGTTTATGGTTTATGCAAACCGATGACATCATTAATTGAAATCATAAATAATAATAATATTATGTACCAAAACTTGAAATTAAATCCTTCATTAAAATGAATTGTTTACGTACTAAAAATTCCATCATTCCGTTAATGGAGGTAGACAGCTGTTCCATTGTTAGGATCCAAGATAAGTTTGCCGTATTCGTTGAATTCAATATTGGCATCTTAAAAGTCCGCATTACAGGCAGATAAAGCGGCTATAAGGATGCTGACTGCATTTTCTCCCATGTGAACAAGTAAGCATGTAGGATATTATAATTAATTAATTAAACCAAAGAGTATAATTTGTTTTAGAAGATCCAATGAAATCATGAAAATAGAAAAACAGATCCCGTGTTGACCTGGGTGTTGTGAGCAAAGTCCATAGTATATTAGTCTTCACTTCGACGTTGCTTTTGTGCTTAAACTGTTGTTAGCTTTGGACTCTCATTGAATCCAAGGAACTGAAGATATGGCTGTGGCATTTGTGGGGGAGGCTTTCCTCTCAGCTTCTGTGGAAGTGTTGCTAGAGAGGATCGTTTCCCATGAGTTCCTATACTTCTTCCGGAGCAAGGAGCTTGACGTTTCACTCCTGAAAAGGCTGAAAATAACACTGTTGAGTCTTCAAGCTGTACTTAATGATGCTGAGGAGAAACAGATCGCAAATCCTGCTATCAAGGAATGGCTAGATGAGCTCACACATGCCCTCTATGATGCTGATGATTTGTTGGATGAAATCAACACTGAAGCTTTGAGATGCAAAGTGGAAGGTGTGTCCCAAAGTCAACCCATTAGTGATCAGGTGCGAAACTTCCTTTCTTCTCCTTTCAAAAGGTTTTACGGGGTCATCAATAATGAAATACAAGCTGCGTTTCAAAGATTAGAGCAATTTTCACTGCAAAAAGATATCCTTGGGTTGAGAGAAGGTGTTTCTAGCAGAGTTTGGCATGGAACCCCCACAAGTTCTGTGGTAGATGAATCTGCTATATATGGCAGAGATGATGACAAGAAGATACTCAAAGATTATTTGTTGTCAGAAGAAGATAATGGTAGTGGCAGTAGAATAGGAGTTATTACCATTGTAGGCATGGGTGGAGTTGGTAAAACAACCCTTGCTAAACTCCTTTTCAATGACCATGAAGTGAAAGAGAAATTTGATCTGAAAGCATGGGCATATATTTCCAAGGATTTTGATGTTTGCAAGGTGACAAAGAGCCTTCTTGAATCCGTTAGCTCAAAGCCAGTTGTCACAAATAACCTGAATACCTTACAAGTTGAATTGCAGCAAAGCTTATGCAATAAAAGGTTTTTGCTTGTATTGGATGACATATGGGATGGAAGCTATAATGATTGGAACAAACTAAAAGCCATTTTCAAAGCTGGGGAAAGAGGAAGCAAGATCATCATCACAACACGGGATGAAAATGTGGCACTCGCGATGCAAACCTCTCTTCCTATACACTACCTAACATCTCTTGACACTGAAGATTGCTGGTCCTTGCTTTCTCATCATGCATTTGGAGCACCTAACAGCATGAAACAATCCAAACTAGAAGTAATTGGCAAAGAAATTGCAAAAAGATGTGGTGGCTTACCATTAGCTGCAGAAGCCCTTGGGGGCCTTCTTCGGACAAAATTAATGGAAAAGGAATGGAATAGAGTCCTGAAAAGTAACATCTGGGATTTACCAAACGTCAAGGTGGTACCAGCTCTGTTATTGAGCTACCATTATCTTCCTGCTCCTTTAAAACGATGCTTTTCCTACTGCTCAATTTTCCCCAAGAACTCCATTTTAAACAAGAACATGATGGTTCAGTTGTGGATTGCAGAAGGGTTAGTGCACGAGTCCAAAAGCAACAAATCTATGGAGGAGGTAGGTGATGAGTATTTCGAAGAACTCGTGTCACGATCACTGATTCGCCGGCAGAGCATCAATGAGAAAGAGGCCTTTGTGATGCATGATCTCATCAATGAATTAGCAACAATGGTTTCATCTGCATATTGCATTAGGCTCGAGGATCCAAAGGCGCATGAAATTCATCTTGAAAGAGCTCGTCACTTGTCATACAACAGAGGGAGGTATGACTGCTTCAATAAATTTGGCACACTTGATGGAGCAAAATGTCTTCGCACCTTTCTAGCCTTACCATTGAGACATTGGTGGTCATCAAAATATCCTAATCTCAGAAGGCATTACCTATCAAACAAGTTACTATTTGACTTGCTGCCAGCAATGGCGCGGCTAAGGGTGTTATCTTTGTCACACTACAACAATATCACTGAGGTGCCAGAATCAATTGGAAACTTGACACACCTTAGATATTTAGATCTCTCTAACACTAAAATTGAAAGATTGCCCGACGCAACGTGCAAGCTCTACAATCTACAAACCTTGTTGCTGTCCAAATGCTGGTTACTCACTGAATTGCCCGAGAAAATTGGAAATTTGGTTAATTTACGCCACCTTGATATTACAGACACCGAATTGAAAGAAATTCCTGTGCAGATAGCAGAACTGAAGAATCTCCAAACGCTGTCAAACTTTGTTGTTAGCAAACAGCAAGATGGATTGAAGATCTCAGAGCTGAGAAAATTCCCCCATCTGCAAGGGAAACTTTCAATCTCAAAGCTGCAAAATGTGACAAACCCTTTGGAAGCCTTTGAAGCCAAGTTGAAGAAGAAAGAGGAAATTGTGGAATTGGCATTGAAGTGGAACTGCAACGCCTCCGAAGACTCGCAAGTTGAAAGGCTTGTTCTGGAGCAGTTGCAGCCCTCAACAAGTTTGAAGAAACTCACCATCAAATCCTACGGTGGAACTAGCTTTCCAAATTGGTTAGGAGATTCCTCTTTCGGCAACATGGTGTGTTTGCGCATCAGTGATTGCGACCATTGTTGGTCACTGCCTCCACTGGGACAACTACTTAGTCTCAAGGAACTCATCATTTCAGGACTAAAATCGGTTAGGAGTGTTGGAACTGAATTCTACCGAAGTTCTAGCACTCTTTCTTTCCAACCTTTTCCATCGTTGGAGGAATGGAACTTAATTGGAGTTGGAGACACATTTGTAGAGTTTCCCATTCTGAAGCGTCTTTTTCTATGTGACTGTCCCAAACTCAAAGGAAACTTACCCAACAACCTTCCTTCATTAACAGGACTTGAGTTATCCAAATGTCCCTTACTCAACTCACAACAACAACATCCAAATCCAGATGAAGTGGCAAGTAACGGCGACGTTACAAGGCCGTTAATTCTGCTTTCGCTTTATTCTCTTAGAGAGTTAACTATCTCATGCATTCCGTCTGTCACGTCGTTCCCAGAAAACGCTCTTCTCGCGCTACACGTCGATCGACATGTTGCCAA